AGTCGAGTACAGTTTATTCTAAAGCTGAAATATATCTAAATAACCGCACAAAATTTTAGCTCTATACATGGAATACTTTTTTGATGGGACCCAGAACGCCACAACAACCAATTCGGCATCACTAATTTAGGTGCCTTACTAAAATGTGAATAAAAAAATAATAAACATACTTATCTTTATTTCTCTATCATATATTATTTGCATGATAAATAATGATATTCCTTGCAAAATTTCATGAAGATCTGACTATATATAGACATATATATCGAGCTTTCAAAAACACACAATTTTTGACTTTTTCAGCTTAGACCCTCCCCTTAAGAATGAAGTTTTCGCGCGCCAAATTTTAGTTACTAGTAAACAAGATAGCAAATCTAACTTAGACCAGTTCGCCCAGAAACTCAAAGCCGTTGATAATGGCTGTATCTTCAAGGCAGTCAGCGCGGAGGAAAATCGTGATAGCGCCATGCGCGACGCCTTTAGTACTGGATTACTCTCTCCTTAGATCCGACAGTAGATATTGGAACAGGGCGCGTTAAATTTTCAAACTGCATTTGCTTTAGCGAGATCCTTTGAAATGGCACACCAGCACTCACAGTGTTATCATAATACCTTGTTTTCCTCACCATGCGCTTCAATGTCCAACAAACCCGAGTCACCTAACTTGATTGCCAAATCTTCACCTACGCCTCCAACATCACCGTCACCATACATTGCCGTTGTATCGAACGAAAAGTGCAACTTTTGCGGTCTCACTCGACATCCGCGAGTAAAGTGTCCGGCTCGCGAGACAGTCTGCACGAATTGTGGTAAGAAGGGACATTTCAAGAGAGCATGTTTGTCAAATCCATCCAAGAAGAATACTTCTCAGGCAACTCCACTAATTTCTTACTCTACGATCGCAGCTGCCCCAGGTTGCTTAATGCGAGCTATCACCAGGATATAGATTAACGGTTCTAAACTAGAAGCGCTGATTGATACCGGCAGTTCTGAAAGCTACGTCTCTGCTACTGGGGCTCACAAGGCGAAGTGGAAGATTACTCCGTCGCGCACGCGCGTATCTATGGCTTCAACTCAAGTGTAGATGTGTACCGCCAGGTAGTGCAGTATGATAGTCACATACAAAGATGTGTACCACAACGTTAGACTTTCCGTGTCTCATTCGTTCTGAAATAAACCATCTCCTACAGGAAAACATAATCGAGTCATCCTTTTCGCCGTGGAGAGCTCAGGTGCTAGTCACTACTAACGGAAGTCACAAACGACGAATGGTCGTAGATTACAGTCAGACCATAAACCGGTTCAATCACCTCAACGCTTATCCTCATCCTAAACTGCCAGAAATGGTCCAGAAGATCGTTACGTTTGATACATTCAGTACCTTGGGTCTAAAAAGTGCCTACCACCAAATCCCCGTCAAAGTGGAGGAACGACCGTAGAACGCGTTTGAAGCCTGTGGAAAATACTACCAATTTTGTCGTATATCTTTCGGAGTAACTAATGGCGTCTCTTGCTTCCAAACGACCAGTGATGAAATTATCTCCAATGAACATCTAACTGATACGTTTTCCTATCTAGACAACGTCCCCATTTGTGGAAAAGATGCTGTTGAACATCGGCAGAATTTAGATCGTTTTTTGAACGTTGCTTCCAACTACGGAATAACCTTTAATTACACAAAAAGCGCGTTCGGGGCCCAACGGGTTAAGCTGCTGGGATATGAGATCTCCAAAGGAATAATTAAGCCAGACCCTGAACCACTGAGGCTTTTGCAAGAACTGTCTACTCCCACCGACATCAAGGCCCAACGGAGAGTGGTAGAGATGTTTGCTTACTACTCCCAATGGATACTACTATTCTCTGACAAGATCCACCCACTCGCTCACAACACGCAATTTCTCATACCACCATACGTCCCGAAATTCTTCGAAAATCTAAAGGAAGAACTGAAAAAAGTCGTACTAATCACTGCCGACCCTAATCTGCCGTTAGTGGTCGAAACAGATGCTACCATAAACCAAAACGGAAGACCAATAGCCTTCTTTAAGAAGCGACATTCATCAGTGAAAAAAGAAGCCTATGCTATCGTGGAAGCTGTGCGAAAATAACGAGATCTACTGGTCACAGATCAGCGTTCTGTCGCCTTTATGCACAATAGTATGAATCAGAAGAAAATTGAAAACGACAAAATACAGCGCTAGTGGCTCGAACTTGCACCCTTTCATTACGATATTACATACCGACCGGGCAAGTTCAACCAGGGACCGGACACATTCTCACGTACCTGTTGCAGCAGTTCGTCTGGCAACCTGAACCTAAAACAACTCTATGACTCTCGGTGTCACCAGGGCATAACTCGCATGCTCCATTTGTTCTGTGCCAAAAATCTTCCATACTCTGTGAATGAAATCAAGTCAATGATTTGTTGTGAGCTGAAACCAAGGTTTGTGCAGCCTCCACTGGACCAACTTGTGAAAGTAACCCAACCTTTTGAGCGCCTCAATGTTGATTTTAAAGGCCAGGTTCCCACTAAATCCCGAAACCGCTTTCTATTAACAATAGTGAATAAGTATCCTGTTTTCCACTCGCACTGCATGCTCTGACTTATCCTCTTCCTCAGATCGAGGTTCCTCTTTCATGTCCCGTGAATTGCGTGATTTTCTTCGCAACAAAGAACTAGCAACGAGCCAAACAACCGCCTATCACCCACAAGCTAATGGGCAGGTTGAACGCCTGTACGGAACACTGTGGAGAGCCATTTCTCTCGCCCTACGCTCTCGCGACCTCCCAGTTGATCAATGGGAGACCGCCCTACAGGACGCCTTACATTCAATTCGATCACTTCTGTTCACTGCAACAAACGTAACTCCGCACGAGAGTTTTCAGGCATAATCGAAGGTCTTCGTTTGGATTCTACATCCCTACCTGACTGTCACTACCGCGTGCTGCCTTGTTAAGAAAAAAACGTCCGATCCTCTAAGTTCGACCCTCTTGTGGAACAAGTGGAAGTTATAGTGTAACCTTAAGTATGCACATGTCCGACTATCAAACTGGAAAGAGGAGACCGTTTCAATCTAACAACTGGCCTCCATGGGTGAACACCCGCTCGAACAAGACGACACGAGTAACGCCGGTTCAGAAGAAGCGATCGCACCCCGATATGATGAACAGACTTGCTTACACGACGAAGGGAACACGATTCCAGGCCATTCTCAACCAAACTTTACCGAAACGCCGTCTACAAGGAGCGAACTTGAGACCTGTCAACATCGCTTGCGTCCATATTGCCTCAGAAACCGAGAAGTCTAAACACTAGCACATTTTACTTCCGTGAAACTTTAACACACACGAAGAAATCATGTCCAGCAACTGTTAGCATGCACTGTTTCTGCCATCAACACAATCCACTTTTGCTACGTACACTCTTCAAAAGTTCGGTGGGGTGGAATGTGGTATTATTCCTCTCCATATTTATTGTTGCTATTACGCTTTCCCTTTTCCTTATACTCTCAGCTCTCGTTTGCCTTCACAGACGAATAAAGCCTGCATTTACAGGTCTTGATTCTTTACTCGTTGGTCTCTCTCTGGTGTTCTATCATACTACACCATGTTACCTTTAGTAACCGTTCAATTCTCTGTACGCTCACGCCTTTGTCCAGTGGCTCACACTTGATGTACACTTTCATTCTCTCACTAACGACAGTTGACCTCATTTTATTTTGTTTTATCGGTACCAGATACCCAATGCACTAAGTATGATGTCGCTATCTCAATGGCGTTGGAAGATAGATACCAGTTTCTCTGGGTGATGCTTAGGTTGTCAAATTTGTTACCACGTTTCCTTGTATGTGTGCCACCTGTTAACCACTCACTCTCCTCAATTTGTGATTGGGTCGTCAATGATCGGCCAGTGTCATTGCTAATACTTTCACACCTCTATCGTGTGTTCACTTGTCTTCTGGCTGCCTGGCTTGGACAGCAGTTTCCTCCCAGTTGAGTAATTGCATTTTGTTGTTGACGTTGATACACCGGGATCCTGAACAACTGAGGTATACCCAATTTACTTCACTGTATGTAATTTAATGGCACTGTAGTTGTCGTCCAGTCTTGTTCTGATTTTGGGGTCATTGGCTAGGTGCAAGTCAACGTTCGACCGATGAATGTTACAGGGATTGTTCGTTGTTTTGCTCAGCAAATGATGAGCACAAATGCACACATAATCTTATGTGCGTAATTGACAATCAGCGATCAAGATTTGTTAACTATGTTAATGAATCTAGTACAAAATTAGCAACATAAAAATAATTTGGGATCAAACTTGTTACCTGTGTACGGAGGGATTAAAGGAGATGGGGAAGGGAAATGCAATAATCCAGGAAGAAGGTCGACTAAGGACAGGCAAGCAGCAAAGAGCGTTTTTAATGAATGCGGGACACACCCGTATGACCAAGTAAGGTATGGACAAACACATCAACTACAAATCCGCAAGTGCAGAGGACAGTTACTGGGGTGTAAAAATTGATGGACACATGAAAAAAGCCGTGTTCTTAAAAATAAGTGGACGATAGTTCAAATGGAAGGTAACTAGTTCAGTCAATTTTAAAAACCTTATGTTGCTCAGTTCAAGCAAAAATAAAATGCAGCCCTCAAATGAAACATGAAGGAATAAGAGATAAAGAGTTTTAGCTACCAAAGATGTATCAGTCAAATGCTGCATAATGTGCTTAAATCGTACCGGCTAATAAAAGTGACTATTCCGTGGGAAACGTTCGTAATTCGAAACGCAACCAGCTAAGTAGATGAAATCTGATGGCAAGGTTATTTATTGTGATCGGCCGCGCAGCGTGAACCGAGTAAAGTTGTTCAAACGTGTTATTTTACTGAGTATTATGACTTTAGTAAAGATCTTCACTCTAGTAAGAAACGGGTGCATGGTCATGTAAAGTTACAGAAGATAACTGAGCGAGTTAAAAGAAGACGAGATCAACTAAAAAACGTACCTTAAAGTGATCACGTTGCTTGGGTTTTGTAGAATTCCGGTGCATAAAATATGAAGAAATAAAATGAACAAGAAGACTGCATACTGGGGACAGTCAGTTGGACATCGTCCGGGGACCACGTGTCCAAAAGCATTTGTTTGCAGATTGGATGAGAACACCGAACCGGATGGATTGAGCGCGGTCCTTGTGGTACAACGACAATCGGAAAAATTCTGTGTGAAGGAAGAGGAAAGCAGGGTGGCATTGGCAGAGGGGCACTGACCAGGGAGAATATAACGGCAAATTGTAAGGCACTCACCTCAATCGATTCGTGTGACGCACGCTTCCGAACTTGGCACCCGGCGAAGCAGGGGTTAAAAAATGTCATGTATTTGAGAGTTGAATGGTCGACAATAATTTTGTCGTCATGTGATGGAATGCGCTTCCAGCAAACGGGGTTGAAATATGTCGCAGAGCATTGAAAACTGCCGTTACCAGTCAGTTGGGAGCTGCTTGATGAGCCATCGTCTCCGGAGAGAGAGCAAGCGGCGTTACAAGGCGCAGTCAAATTGGGCTCCATTAAACGGGCTGGTCCGTACATTCGGGGCCAACTGATGTGAAAGCGAAGAACGGAAAGATTAATAAGAAAGCGGATTGCGGTATTCTGTGATGCGGTGTACACATCCCCAAGCAAGCAGCGATCCCACAGCGAGAGAGGAAAAGATAAGAAAGGACGCATTACACGACATGAAGTTGGATCCACTCACGGTTTTCCGTCATATGTAGCAGTGAGACCTGCAACTCGATTCCCTGGGCACCCGATTAGCATCAAACTGATTGTAGTGATTACCGTGGTTCCGATCATGACCGAGATACCAGCCAAGGTCCGATCGATTGGAGGTCGATAGCGTCGCATGAGCAGTGCTCCGGACAATATACCAAGCAATGAGCTGGGGACTACGACAGCACCTGCAAAGGATATGTAAGCTACAGTCTATGAGCATGTGTCAGCTTATCTAAGTAACAAACGCTGTTATCTCCACAAAAACGATCAGAAACGGGACAGATGAATAATAGAGAGAAAAGCGTGTAAGAAAACCCAGCGCAACACAACCAGGGTGCGTGCGCTGTGTGTATACGGTTTTGGTCAGCCATTAGCCGTAAATAAATTAGAAAAACTGGACCCTAAACGGAATGGTGCGCAATAATCGTGATTGCTTATGTACAGGCTATTCAGCGCCTCAACATAACAAAACGTACCTGAGATATTACTGATTGAAGATATGCTTCTGTTTCGGCAGATATTCCACATGGACACTCAGGTAACCAACAGAATGGGGAAAAAGTGAGACGGAGAAAAAACGTTTGCTAATACAGCGCGGCCTCGGTTAACGCTTGCTGACTGCCCGATTGAGGACAATTGTTGAAATGACCTGGAGTCGAGTTCAACAGCATTTCTGCTGTGAATTCTGTCGTACAACCTTATCCAACCACGATCTCGTGCTTGAACCATAATGAAAACAAAGCGCAATTTTATTTGTATCCCTTGCCTTTGTATCTTTTTACGACCACCTAACTGAATTGTACTGCCACATGATAGGTGAGAGGTTTCTTATCCCAAGGGAAACGAACAGAACGAGTGGATGTGGGTCAAGTGTTTCTGGGGTACTGACCTGCAATTGCACGGCTTGGCTTCTGACACCCATTTCTGCTGATCCTACCGTGTCGGGTAACTAAGGTGATAACGCAAATATGCGCATATCGGTATCTTTGAAAGTTGTGATCCAACTATCTTCAAGTTATATTCAAAGTGCAGATCCAACGCTAGTAGGTGAAAATATGCATTTTCAGTCAGTTGGCTGGATGATTCCCCCTCCTGTCTCTTCCTCCTACAATGTCTGATGGTTACACTCACCGCATGCATCAGCCGGTTAGAAAAGTAAGACATATCTTCCACTTCTATTTTTGCTGCATTCCCAATCAGATGGAAGACTCACAGTGTGCCCACGTGGAGCGTGGGAGCATTGGTAGCTTGGGGAAACAGTGCCCTTTCATTAATCTATTCAATTTATGCAACTGCGCTCTTCATTCCCCTTTCGTTCTAGATCGTGATTATATGCGAAGCACGGATTTAAAATGTGCGTGCAAGCATTATGCACCATACCATATTGCCATCGTTCAAAAGGGGGACATAGTTCTTAGGTTAGCCCCTCATCCCCTAAATGAAATTGTTTCTGTTCTCAACCACCCTAACCATACACCGATATTCTACTTTTTAGCGCACTCATCTGAATGCGCTTTTACGCCTCTTATTCCCTCTCCGCAAAGCACAACGATTTTTATCCCTGTTGGATACTCTACTTAGAAGCGCTCTATGTTTACAATTCGGTCGAAAGCCTCGCTAAAGTAACGGGTGACGACTCCTTTACAGATGCTAGGCGAAATCAATAATGAAGGTAAGAATGAAAAAGGAGCTACATTTGATCTCGTTAAGAGAACGCTCACACTATCCATTTGAATAGACTGTACACTAAAGTCGGACTAGTGGGCCGTGTTTCATCCCGATGGAAAATACGCTTTTCATTATGCAGTCGAACCCGCTTTATAGACCACCCTGCTTTATGGCCCAGTTTTTCAAAATACAAATTCTTTTCCCATAAATATGCTTAAGTTTCACAGTCTAACTGCATACTGCTTACTACTACTGCTTAATGGCTAAACTGCGTGGGTTGTGCTCTTGTCCCTTTGTCACTTTTACACCCTCATTTATTAGATTTACTCCATAGCTAGCCAGTCCGATCGAGTCAAGAACAAAGATGTCGGCGAGAAATCAGAAAAGAGTACCCACGACATTCAATACAAGAACAAGCTAAATGTACAACAGACGGCTGTGGGCAAACCCCCGGCCCTATCCAAAACTCGAGAACAGAGCAAAGTCGGGCAATCTTTTCGTACGTATGTTATCCTTATTAGCACGTTACAATTCGAGTAATAAACTGTACAGTGGTTGTCTCCATTTGTGAAAAATAGCAACATGGGTTAATTATCCACCCCGCTTCATTGCCCATTTTTGTAATATACCGATAGTGGGCAACAAAGCGGGATCGACTGTATAACTAACAGAGTCCATCGCAGTGGTTTCCATGTCAGATGGACCTTTATATGCCCAGAAAAGCACTAGACTGTCGTTTCGACCAGTTGGGTCTCATTGTGAGTATATTATTGCTATTACGAGATATCACAGTATCATGAGATTAGAAAGGTAGAAAGGGCGGAATTCCAGCAAGCAAAAGACAAGAAACAAACGAAAACGTGGTGGATTTGAGGTAGCGTTGTTGCTTAAAGGCCTTGTGGTTATCTCGGTCTTGGAATATGTATCACGCCGGTAAAATTTCCCAGTGCTCTTGATCAGACGCTTTAGCGGACAAATGTGATTTATAAGGGGTTAAAGTAAATACTCTTTTTGACATAAATTGTGGTCCGAATACAGCACAGATGAATTGTGGGTGTCCTATGAGAAAGTCGCTCATACGGCGTTAACCGAAATCCATCGGAAAGCAAAGAGGTGAGTCAGAAGCGAACAGAGCAAAGAAACGTTGTTTATAACTCCCCAGATGAGAGGGTAGATTGAACGCTTCCCAGGAAATTGTACGCCTCTGCCTTACACATCGCAACTCACGCCGACAGCACGTCTTGGTAGGGGCTACAAATCAGCGCGCAGTTCAGACGGAAAGCCTCGGACAGTAAGGGTAAAAGAAGGCAAAGTAAGACGGAGTTCGGGTGAAAGCAAGTTAAACCAAGTGAACAAAAACCATGTACCATAATGGATGTGCATTCAGCATCTGCACAATGAACAGCGGCATAATGAAAAACAGAATCCATAAGAATTGCGATAAGGAAACGAACAATGTGAATAACCATAATTTGAGCAGACAGTCGCAGGCCTGGCGGATGTGGCAAGATAGGAGTGCGATAGGAAGAAACACAAAAATATAAAAATAAAATTTGGCCGCATAAAATGGCTATTAAATAGTAAACTAATCTGCGGTATCTCGGGGCCTTACGCAAATGTGGATGTTCGCGTGGTAGCCTAACGTCGTCACGACCTACTGGCGCAGTGTTGATGCACTGCACCACATCATCATAGCGCATTAACTGAAGGTGAGCAACACACGTCAGTCATTGTGTAGAAGAACGGAATTGTTTTTGTTATTTTTCACACGCCATTTTTCTTTCTGTCGTTTTTAATTATTAAACATTAGACACCTGAATCTGAACAAATATATACACAAATCTTCCACCGGTTTCGACTACACGTCATACATGCACTTAATAGCCATCAACAGATTACGGTATACGGGCTGTTAGCTATGTGAAGAAAAAAGAGCTATTCATGGAACCGGTAGATGACAGGTGCTAGGGGTTACAGTATGTGGGGGTTACCATCATCACCATCATCATACACGTTAGCTAGAGGTGGGGAACACGTCAGCTACTGTGCCGCAATACGCAGAAAAAAGGAGAGAAAAAAAGAATTCAACTGGGGCAAGCCGGCTGAGCTACCGGTAACGGATGAGCATTGTTCCGGTAAGCTACCAGCCGACTACTATGCAAAATTATATAAGGCTAAATAATGAGATCGTGGTTGGAGGGGGAGGCTAAGAAGGATGGGGCGGGAAAAAGAAACTTACAGCACGAACGCCACTGAGGTCGGCTCCTAGCCATATCAGCAAGTGTGTCCGACCAAACGTGTTCATCGCCTTTTGGACCCCAACCAGGGAGCCGAGACGCTCCAACTGAGGCCAGCTCAAAAGTGAGGGCCTTCATTCCCCTGGACCAAGTCATCGCATGGCCACCCCTCCTCTTCTTCCATCCACACTCCCGGCCCGCAAACAACGCTCGTAGCGGGAGTCGGTGGGCTGGCATGCGCAACACGTGGCCCAGCCATCGGAACCTGGTGTAAGAAATAACGGTGCTGAGCGGTTCAGTTCCTTTTCCTGTGCCATAAACAAGGCGTCGGACACGCTCGTTGCTCACGCGGTGTTCCCACCAGATGTGAGCTAAATTACGAAGGCACCGGTGGTCGAACGTAACTAGCCTCTTCAGGTCCGTTGCTTTAAGTGGCCAGGTTTCACAACCGTACAGCAGGGTCAAACGTACTGCTGCATTGTACACACTAGCCTTCAGGGCGATAGTGATGTCGCGCCGGCGCCATAAGTGGCGAAGGTTAGCAAAAGCGCCCCGAGCTTTTGCTATACGGTTCGTGATCTCATCTTCAATCCCACGGGCGCTGATACAACTTCCCATGTAGTTGAATTTTTGAACGACTTCTACCTGATCCGCACCAACGGTCAGCGTAGGTGGCGGTCCAGACCAATTTTGGAGGAACGCTTTGCACTTCGAGGGTGCGAAGCAAAGCGCGAAGTGACGGACAGCTAGTGCTAATCTGTCCAGTGCCGCTTAGCAATATTATCAGCATACTCTAAGTCAAGAAGTCGTTCTCCTGGGAGTAGCTCCACACCTTCTAAGTCGTGTCCTGTGAACGCGATTTCCATGACTTCGTCAACAGCGAAGTTGAAGAGGAAAGGTGACAGCGGGCATCCTTGTCTCACGCCACTGGAGATGTTAAAGGGCGACGATAACTTGCCGTAAGCCCTCACTCTGCCCGAGCTACCAGCATATAATGCTCGGATAATATTCACATATTTCTCGGGCACACCTCTCCTGAGTAGACAGTCCTAAAGTGCATGTCTATCCACCGAATCATGTGGGGGTTATACATCGGAACAATGAGAAGACACCTTCCCACTAATCACTGATAGGTAGCAATGGTTGAACTACGAAGTCGAAAGCAAGTACGCTGCTCCTCACCGAACTAAGTTAGAAAAGAGCAGTCCCAACTGGTTCGAGAACACCTGAGAGGTGAACTGTGTAATATCTATCATTAAAACTGAGCTTGGCAAGTCTCA